TACTTACAGGTATATAATTAATTAGTTCTAAACTTCTAATGCAATTTTAATTCCGTACGAACTCAAATGATCGAATATATATTTGCTTGTAGGTCGTTGGAAAGGTGAAGCAATTGGTGAAAAGGTATGCCTTCAAGTTTTGTCAACCTCTACAAAATCACGTCTAACCATCATTTAATATGAATCATCATTTAATCAAGTATTTATCTTATACAATTAATTAATTTGATAATGTTGCAGGCTAATTCATGGCTTAATGTCTGTCCAGAAGGACTTGGACATGTTTTGCAAAAACTTGCGAAAAAGTACGATACTAAGCTTATTTACATTACGGAGAATGGTAAGCCTTAAATTTGGCAAGGTTGATTGTGTGGGTATATATATATATATATATATATGTTGGGCAGAATGATATATACCATATATATTACTACCCTAGACATAGGTATGAATTAAGTCAAATACTTCTGTTTCTCTTATAGGGGTCTGCGACAAGTTTGATGTAAAAGGCACAAATCTTTCAGAAGTCTGCAATGATAAGATGAGGAAAAAATACATCCAAGATCATCTTCTTCAGATTAAAGAAGCGAGAAAGTAAGTTCTTGGAAAAAAATCCGTTCTCTTTATTTTGATGCGATAAATGTTATACTACGGTATTAATGATTTAAAAGTTTAGACTAAATTAATAATGAAAATTGTGATACATTGTTTAGTTATTATATTTTTGTACATCAATTATATATATATGACTGGATATATTTTTTTAATTTTAATTTTTTTCATTTACGGACAGGGATAAAGTTAATGTAATGGGATACTTTGTTTGGTCTCTCATGGATAATTTCGAATGGGGTGATGGTTACCTTACCCGTTTCGGCCTCATTTATGTGGATTACAAGAATAATTTAGCCAGACACCCAAAAGACTCAGCTCTGTGGTACATGAATTTTCTCAAGGGAGGGTCTCCGGTAACTACAATACCAATGGAGGCGGCGAAAGAGTCTCCGGCGAAAGAGTCTCCGATCCCTTACAGTACCAACGGAGTATTGCCAGAGACAGTAGTGCTTCCGAGCTAGGCTGTCAATAAAGGGACATCAAAACTCCAATGCCAATAATCTAACAACTCTCTTTCTCATTTTTCAATAAAATAAAAGTGTTTTCCCCACTTTTTTTTCCGGAAAAAAAAAAAAGAAAAGGAAAAAAAAAGTTTTCGTTCCTTTCTGTTGGTTGATGATGTCATATATATATATATATATATATATATATATATATATATATTTGTGTGTTTAAACTCAAGCTAGCATTCCTTTTGCTTGATCAATATTTGTAAGGGTTTGTAAGTTTGGGGAGGGCTACCTCCTGCTGTGTAGCCCATTATCGTCATTTCATTTATCAATATCAAATGATTGAACAACTCGAAGCAATTTATTTACGATAATTAGTTGACATTCATAAAATGAATCTGATGAATTATGAGTTCATTCCTTTCTGTTGGTTGATAATATGTCATATATGTGTTTAAACTCAAGCTAGCAGTCCTTTTGCTAGATCAATTGTGAGGGCGTGTAAGTATGGGGAGGGCTACCTCCTGCTATGCAGCCCATTATCGTCCTTTCATTTATTAATATGAAAGAATAACTTTGGTTATCAAATGATTGAACAATGGGAGCAATTTCCTTATCATAATTAGTTGGCATTCGTAAAATGTATCTAATGAATTATGAGTTCAATACATTCTATTTAGCGAAATGACGAATATTCCTTACTCATTACCAGACAATTACTTATTCACAAATATGAAAGAACTCTTTTCGCTCATCATAGGATATTTTTGTAATGAGTTCTAGAACTCGACCATTCTATATGGTCAAACCAATAAAAAATACGAATCAAACTCAAGTTTATTTAGTCACTATAAAATATTGAGTTGCAAATTATACAAGTTGTGACTGGGGTAATGGTTACCTTACCCATTTCGGCCTCATTTGTGTGGATTATAAGAATAATTTAGCCAGACACCCAAAAGATCGACTCAGTTCTGTGGTATATGAATTTTCTCAAGGGAGGGTCTCTGGTAACTATATTTGGGTTCACGTGGAGGATCGCAAGGCGATGATGATGGGCGAAATTGAAGGGCATCCTAATCTCGTGCTGTGATGTCATCCTCGAGATCTGTCCCAGTACCGAAAATCTCACCAAGAAGCTCATTAACGCCGGCAAGTTCATTATCGTCGACGAAGAACTTTAAAACATGATTAAAGGATTCGATTGCCTAACCACTGTCGCTAGCGAACTTGCCGCCGCTTCGGGTTCACGTGGAGGATCACAAGGCGGCGATGATGGCCGAAATTGAACGGCATCCTCATCTCGTGCTTCGATGTCATCCTCGAGATCAGTCCCGGTACTAAAAATCTCACCGAGAAGCTCATCAACACTGGCAAGTTCATTATCGCCGTTGAACTTGACCCTCGTAATGTCTATAAGTTGGAGCGTGTGTGTACAGTGAATATTAGAAAGAGACCCTCGGTGAAGCTCATCAACGCCAGATTAGGGAGAGACTCAGTTATTGTGTGTGTGTACATTGAATATATGTGTGTGAGAAAGTTAGAGATTATATGAAGCGTATGATATATTGTTGTTCTTGTCACAAGGGTAGTTTTGTAACTCTGCAATACTCTATGAGGTTAAAAATGTCATTTCAGACATTGTGAAGGGCAAAATTGACCTTGCACTCATTTATTCCTCCTGACATCAGCCCTGGCCGTCTATTACTTAACGGCAGGGGTACCTTGGTACGTCTGGTCAAAGGTTAGGGGGTGTGCGTGGAATATTGAAACTTAGAGGGGGTATAAGTGAAATATGGTCAAAGGTCAGGGGGTGTAGGTGGAATTAACCCTTATTTTTATTAGTTATATGAAAAAGTTATATATTTTAACTATGTCAATTATATCACAAGTTCAACAAAAATAAAATAAAATAATTATATCACAAAAGTATTAAGAGTTTGCTTAGTTGTTACTTGTTAGTATATGTTGGGCTTGCTTTTTATTACTAAATAATGAAGGGAGATGATATACACGGGCGCTCCACTCTTATATTTAAATAATTAAAATGACAAAAATAATCATGTACATTCCTTCTTCAAGGATTGTGTGCTCGCATTTCTCCTTTCACTTATCTTTTTTCTCCATCATATTCTTATGCCCCTTCTTATTTATCCATCTTTCACCTTTTCTCATCACCATAGTGGATCTAAAAAACAAGGGGCGGAGCAAGTGAGGTTAGTTTACTTATAAAATTATATAGTACTTGTTGATACGAAAATTCTCGTGACCCAGAACGGTAAGGATGGTAGGGTACTGGCTGAGGACCCTGCGACGATCAAGTTAATACTTGTAATCGTATAGTAGAAGAATTAAATATCTATTGAATGTTTGAGGGTTTTTTCTCGTACCTCATTAATTGTCACACAATGTATTTATTGTCATCCTCAGGATTAGGTTGGTTACAGAAATGTCGATCAGGAATATTTGAATGAGTTGAATCGGGATCTTCATTCACCAACTGAATGACAAAGGAGTCGTCATATTTACCTCCTGCATTCTAGGATTTGAAAAACGGACTACGATTATCTTGGTTGGTCAACTTCAAATTATTTTATCCTCATCAGATGCCCCTTATTGTTTCGAACGGACTAGGAAATATCAAAGTTTTATTTATTTATTTTTATTTTTTTTTACCTCATGATACTATTCCAAGGTCAACGGTACCTTGGGGTACTGTTCCCGAGGTTTTTTTTTTTAATCTCCGGTTACTTGCAAAATGTTATGAAAAGGCGTGAGTCCAATCCTATACTCAATAACACCGATGTACGGTGATGGTTGGATTCCCTTTGGGAATAAACACATTATATATATATGAGTGTGTTTTACAAGCTTTACTTAACACGTCACTTTAATAAGAGAACAAGTTTTACGAGCTTTACTCAGCTCGCCCTTTTGATAAGGGGAGCAATAATTTTGAGCTTCACCCAACTCGCCCTTTTAATAAAGGGTCTAATTTTTACGAACTTCACCCAACTCGCCCTTTTAATAATGGGATGTTTTGCCCAAGTTTCGTGAGCTTGCCCTTTAATAAGGGAATAGGCTTTTCTTTTTCTCTTTTCTTTTTTCTTTTTCTATTTAGCTTCATGAGCTCACATTTTAATAAGGGTGTTGTTTGTGTTTGAGATTGCCTTTGTGAGGTCATAAATTAATTCCTCTATCCCGTTTCCTTGGAGTAAAGTAGTAATCATGTCTGATATAAATAACATGGTTTAGACATGGGCATTAACTTATCTACAACTATCTTGAGATATTAGTCATATAATTCGACAAAGCATCGGCTGCGTAAGGAATTGGTGAAGGAGACTAGACTTTGACTGACTTTGTGTACTAAGGTTGATGCGTCAGACTTTTGAATCTTACCATCATATGTAGATTGTTATCTAATTGATTGTTATCACGTGATTTACTGCTTTGCCCCTAGTGTGATAAATTGGGGGATCTTGAACGGGGACCTATTCTGTAGGTACATAACTTGGCATCCTAGATAGACGATGGCCTGGTGACCTCTAGATAAGTGCCTCGTCGGATGTGGGAATCTCCCTGGACTTAGATAACTCCTTGGGCATAAAGACCTCTTTGGACATGGGGATCTTGAGAAACATTCTTGAGTGTACAAACCACCTTGATGGCATAGATGAATGGAGTAATGGGACTTCACTGTTGGTAGAAACCTCCTTGATGGTAGAGGCCTCATTGGTTGGTAACAGTCTCCTTGGTGGATAGAGACTTAGTTGTTAGTAGAGACCTTGTTTTTGGTAGAAGCCTCCTTGGCGGATAGAGATCTTCTTACCTTAGTTGAATCTTGCCTGCTTTGGTGATAGACCTTTCTTGGTCTTAGTGAGAGACGTTGCTCGGCCCTTGTGGAAGACCTACTTGACCCTACCTTAGTGTGAGATGTCGGTACAAGACCTCCTACTTGACATGGCCTTGGGAGACTTGATTCGTTTTGGCTTTGTAGGGCTTGATGTAGGCGACCAGACCTTAGTAGTGAAGGTACCAAGCACTGCCAAGTAGGAGACACCAGACACGTTAGTCTGGTGCCTAGATCAATGTGCCAGACTTTTGAGTACCGCTATCATACATAGGGTGGCATCATGCGACTTATAGTTTTGGCCCCAATATGATGGATAGGGGAATCTTGATGTAGAAATCCGTCCTTTTATAAGAGTATGGAACTCGTTGTCGCGACACTACACAATAGATGCTTTCAGGACGGTTTCCATGATCGGAAACCTTCGTCTTGTCGTTCGAGCTGAATCGCGTCAGAATTAATATTTCTTTGGGGAACTAATCATTTCCCACAGACGGCGCTAGCTGTTGATGCGAAAATTCTCATGACCCGGAACAACGACGTTTACTTGCAAAACAACAAGATGTCATCTCGAATGGCACCGGTGGGGTGCCGGCCAAGGACTCTCCGACGATCAAGTTAGTACTTGTAATCGTAAAGTAGAAGAATTAAATCTGTATTGAATGTTTGAGGGTTTTTTCTCGTACCTCATTAATAATTGTCACACGATGTATTTATTGTTGTCCTCGGGATCAGGTTGGTTACACAAATGTCGATCAGGAATATTTGAATAAGATGAATCGTGATCTTCATTCACCAATTGAATGACAGATGAGTCATCATATTTACCTCCTACATTCTAGGATTTGAAAAACGGACTCTGGTTATCTTGGTTGGTCAACTTCAAATTATTTTATCCTCATCTGTACTATTTTAAAAGACAAATAATAATAAAAAAATAATAATAAAAAAACTCTCTTGCATATAATAATATCTTGAAATTGTTCCTCTATTTGTCGTCATCCTATAAATATGTCTTTCTTCTTTTATTTTCTTCTTTACTCTTCTTTTTACTAATATATACTTTTTTTTCTACTTTAATGCATAGTAATATCTTGAATTTACTCACCTAAAATTTCTTTATTCTATAAGAGTATCTCCAATGACTGCGCACACACACACACACACACACACACACACACATATATATATATATTTATATTTGTAAATCTGATGTGCTATCGTGGATTTACATACACACACACACACACACACATACAAAAAAAAAAGGAAAAAAAAGACTAATTATTTTTAGCTTCAGCCATTATTTTATATTTTTTGTGTAAAAATATACTTGCCAATAACAACCAAACAAGTGTCGTACCCAAGACCCCACATCTTTTACAAACTTACTTTAACATATGGTTGATTCGTTAATAGAATGAGAAAGAGGGAGAAGAGAAAAAATATGATGATGTGGTTGCGTAAAAGGGTTGTGCAAAATTCACAACAATTTTACGTATTAGTAATGTGACAATGTATCTTAACATATTAGAGATTATTTTATTTTATTTTATATATATATATATATATTTTATTATTATTTTTTTAACACATTGTGTATATTTTACACAAAATGATCTTTTACTCTTCTTTTTCTTTTACTTCTTTGATTTCTTTCAAAATATTTTGCATTTTTTCACTTTTAAACACACCCTTATTTCACCTTCTTTAAAGTTATCTCATTGTTGAGCGTGGACAAAAAGTATAATATGTGAGTGTGTTTAAAAGTTATCTCATTTTGACCTCCTTTTCTTTTCTTTTTTTTTTCTTTTTTTTTTTTTTTGTGTGTGTTCATATTCTCTCTATTCCTCTTAAAATTCTTTACTAGAATTTTATGACTTGAGCCAGTTTGGGATTGCTGTTAGAATGTTAAAAGCACTTTTTATAGTAGAGCTGTTATAAAAGTGCTGTTAGTAAAACACTATTAAGCGTTTTGTGACATATTGTATAAATCACTTTTTATATTTGAAGCACTTTTAAAATTGTTTGGTAATAATATTGCTTAAAGCACTTTTATTACTAATTTTACTATATTACCCTTACATTAAACATATGATAATTCCCTAATATTAAATATTATAAAATTCCATTGAGAATGATTTATAAAGATGAACTTGTATTTTTTTTTATTTATTTAAAATATCACATATTTTGTTTATTACAAAGTCCAAAATAAACTAAGATCACATATTTTGTTTACATATTTTTTAAATATCACATATTTTGTTTATTACAGAGTCCAAAATAAACTAGGATCTTTGATTGTTACAGAATCCCACGCATTGTTTGCTATTTGTTTGTAGAAGCCTAAAAGGGATCAAATTGTATTAATAATAAAAAAAAGGGATTAAATTGTCTATAACAAAATTAGTTACCTAAAAACACATGTACCTCTACCCGTAACGCAGTTTTAAAAGTTACGATTCTTAGCTTCAAGTAAACGCGCTTTTTAGACCTAACCTCTACTATCTTTAAGAGCTTTTTTTTTTTTCACCAAACACTTTGCACCGCAATTTTTTAAAATAAAAGTACTTCTCAGCAATAGAGAAGCACTCCCAAACACCCACTTTATGCCCCATGTTTTTATGTTTTGGAATTTTTCTTTATTGCAAACCTGACTGCACTAATATTGTCTTGTAACACTATTAGTAGGCCAGCATATTTTTTTTTTCATGTTGATTATGGCCAGGGGCGGAGCCAATTAAAGCCCAGAGGGGGCACGTGCCCCTCCTCACTTTGCTCCAACCTACTATACATAGGTATATATTTTTGGTATATACATATACTTTTATAGTAATTTTAAATTGTGCCCCCCCCTCAAAATTTCAAATTCTTCTAATTTTCTTGAGTTATATATATCCCTTCTTTAAGTATACAGTATATTTTTCCTTTTCTAATTTTTGTTTCCTTTTTCAAAAAATTTCTTTTTATACTTATGTATAATTGTGTATTTTTTTTAAATTTTTTTTAACTTATTTCTTTTTATCGATGACATTTGTGATTTTATTTAATTAAAATATTATTAATTAATATTTTGTAACTATAATTTTTTTAACAGTATTTATTTAGTATATTATTTTACAACTTTTTTTTTCTTATTTGCCTTTTTGATTTAAAAAAATTATACTTCCTATTTGTCATATTTATTATTATTATTTTTTTTTCAACAATTACGTTGTGCCCCCTCTAAACTAAAATCCTAGCTCCGCCCCTGATTATGGCCGACTTAATTTTCTGGCTCCCCATGAAAAATGACGGGTCAATTTTTTGGTAAGTCCGGTTCACATGTGAACTAGATTTTATTTTTTATTTTTTAAAGGATGATAAACCTCGTACGTAATTGTTAAAAAACAGATGCGTACTAGGGAAGGACGAGAATACACTACAACAAACGCATACCGTGGATTGGAATTCACATTTTGTTTTGTATAATTGTGTTATTTTAATTATACGTAGTTTTATGATCAATTTGTATAAAAACCTTGTTTATTATAAAAATTCAAGTAGACAATTGTCAACGTAAAAAAAATGAAAACTTTATGACTTAATATTTAGTTTTATATTTATTGTTTTATCAAATAACAGAATATATATATATATATATATATATATATTTCTTATTATTTATCTTTTAAATATAAAGACAATATCTATATTCATATACCCTTATGAAAGTTATGATTATTTTTATGATTTCTAAAAAGAATTTATATACTTAACAAAAAAAAAAAAAAGCTTGCTATAACATCAATAATGTGCAGCTTACTACTACTAGCTTATATGAAAAGAGACAAGAGGTAAAATGTGGGAAGTATTTATACGATGGGATTAATTTGATGAAATTACTAATTTGGAATTTAGAGTTAAATATTTTTTATTTTTGTTTTATTTAAAAATTCATAATAAGCTTCTAATTAACCTATAATATATTTTAAATGATATTGAATTTCATTTTTTTTTTTTTAAATAGTAATAACTCATATAGTGTCCGGGAAGTATAATTGTGTCCCAAATATGTTCAATAAAAAGAAAAAAAGAAAAAAAAAAAGAAGGTAGTGATACTTACACCCAACACTTAAACCTAATAATTTTTAATTGGTTATTTATATCAAATACAATTAAGTGGAGGGCTCAACTTTCTTATTTGTTGCATAATTAATCAATTAAAAGAATATGTCTAACAATTCACTAGTGCAAAAATTACTTTTTAAAAAATAATATATTTAAATTTTAATATACTTCTAATCCAACATGAGTTTGGATTGTATTTGCATTTAGTATACCCAATGCGTGCCCAATAGCCCCATGCACATGCACCACCCTTAAGTAAAGCCTAGGACCGACTGGAGCGTGACTTATGCGATCGCCTAAAACCCCTCAAATTTTTTATATTTTCATGTATTCAAACTTCTCTTAAATTTTAAATTTCTTCTATTATTATGTCCCAACCAATTAAGAGATTTAATAGTCAACCAAAAAAAATTTATCCTTCTCTCACACGTTTTTTTCTCTGATTATTATTCCGCTAGCCGTAATTATCGAAACTTATCATTTTTCTCATTTTTTTTTTCCTCCGATTATCATTACACGAGAGCTGTAATTATTGCAACTTGAGATTTTTATCCTTTTTCTCATCTTCTTCTTCTTCTTTTTTTTCCTGATTATCATCACACAAGAGCTGTAATTAATGAAACAGTCCTTTTTCCCATCCTTTCTTTTATCAAATTATCATTACATGTGAGCTGTAATTATTGAAACTTAAGATTTTTTAATTTTTTTATTATCATTACACCAGAGCTGTAATTATTGAAACTTTCTATATTCTCGTATTAACTTCTTTTTTTTTTTTTTTTTTTTTTTTTTTTTTTTGTCATATTCCTTACATATTTTTCCCTCTCTAAATACGATGTCTTCGCTCTCTCCGTTTACACTTTTATATAACTAAGAAATGGAAAAGGCATCTAACAGCAGAACAGCCTCCTGATCTAGGCTAACAATGGAGAATTGCATTACTAGAAGGTTGATGTTTCTAGGAATTTTCCAAGTGTAGAATTAGTACTCCTTTATATTTTTTTGAAAATTTTCTTACATGAACAGTCATAGTAAGGTGGAACCAACGAAAGATCCAAGTACTGCAACATTGCAATACTCTTTTAG